CCTTGCATTAATTTGTCTATATTAATGTACAAATTTTCATGCACGTATTTCGACTAATATCAATTTCATTTCATGGCCGTTATAACTTGTCGAGGATAACGATCCTAATCTCAATACTAATCTTCATCGTGTATCGATTCTCAATACTATAGCTTATCCGCGATCAATGTTAGGTGTTTCACGGGGTTTCGATCAAGCCCCGAGGATCAGACACGGCGATTTCTCTCACCTCCGTCAGATCGGATAATTTCGGTTAAGTGGCTCTCGGGAAACGATCGCGTCGACTGCGGCAGCGTTCCGTTAAACGACGCTTCCTTCCGTCTCCTCTACGACTGCTCGTCGTTTCTCGCTGTTCGTTCCGCGGCATCGATCCCCATCTCACTTTGTCCGCCAAGGAGCGAGAGCAACGGGGTAAGAACAAACGCGCCGTAATGATGAAGCTTTGTCGAATTAGAGCCTTCTCCTTTCCAGCCATTTCGCGCTCTCCCTTCCTATCTCGCACCTTCGCTTACGTTTACGACGCGTGTGTTTGTGTTTGCACGTTCGTGTGTTTGTATTTGTTTGCGTACGTGTTTACGTACGTGTTGGGTGTGCGTATCTTCTTCGTGCGTGTAGATCGTCGTGCGTTGGAATTCCCTTTTCATCCCCCCACATTCGCTTCACATACTCTAGCCGTTTATGTATCTACCGGCAGACATAATTAACAATTAGTTCCCCTCTCATAAGTCGAGCGTTCCCTTGATGTGCGGCGCGCGTCTTACCGTAAATTGCATTTGCTTCCTCCTTACGTATTCGCGTTGCCGTGGCATTATTATTCCTAACGAGAAATATTAAAGATTGTGATCGAATAATCGGTAAAAAAAGTATCTGTGTCAAATATACTTCTCCCCGATGAGTGAAACTCGTTAGATCCTAAAAGTCATTTTTAAATAAAAAATAGAGACATTCACTTATATGAAGTTAGCACCCTGATTTTAATAAATTAAGTTTTCAACAGAAAATGAGTATATAGTATTTTAAAAAGTTTGTAGTTATAATAAATATTTATTATGTAAATATTTCTTTCGTTATCATTATAATTGTAAATATTTCTCTTATATTATCACACACGCATTTTAATGCATTTTTTTATATTTATAATTACGCGAAATATAATGACTATCTTTTTTAATTTGCTTTTATGCTAAATCCAGACTAGGTGAATATATACGGTAGAAAGTCTCATCTGTAAGTGTAAATAAAGAAACAGCAAACTTGTATGCGCATGTTTGAAGCGGAGATGCTTACAGCGGAATTCATTTGTTCGGTGAAGCAAAGCTCAGCGAAATCTCGCGCGAGTGCGGAAAAACGAGATGCGGAAATCGCGCATGGGAAAATAGTTTTTAAATGAAAATCGGTTGTTTACAATTCAAGGAAATGTATTTCATTGGATAGACATCGTTGCCTTGCGTTGTGCGATACCATGTGTGTAATGATACGGCATACACAATATAAATATTTCAATAATCTTTAGCAAAATACGCGTTATGATTAAAAGCTCAAAATGGCATAATAAATGTCGTATCGGAGAAAATTTCTATCTCTTTTATATTATTTAAAAGAGATTCTCTCAATATAATATCAAATATTATTTAAAGTTACTTATATTAATTCAAAAAAAGCAATTTGAATAAAAACATTTTTAATATTGTCAATAATACTTATTTCTTTTGCTTCCTCATAGAGGAAGCTTTGTTTTCGTGACAAAATTTTTTTTCGAGTTTTCTATGCCAATGTGTTTAGAATGTTCCAAAACGTCGGAAAATCATATTCCTAAAAAATGTCTGTATGTTTTACTCTGTACTAATAAACATATTAACATTAATTCCGACAAAAACTATAAGAATTTCAGCAGGCTGTTACATGCGGGAGTCAAGATGATGCGAATAAAAATTAAGAGTGTCTTGTATCAATTGACAAAATAAAACTTGACGTACTCTTGCAAAGCATGGCACGAGACATTTAAAAACATTTTATTCATTGAGGATTTAATAATTCATGACTTTAAAATCGCCTCGATAACAAAAAATACCGAATTTACATCGCAAGTTTGCAAATCAATCGTTCCTCCTCTGTTGAAACTTTTTTGCTGCTCTTCTTTGGTAAACTTTATTCGCAGATGTACGTCCGACAATATGGATGGTTATTTGTGTATCCAACTCTGACTCCGGAGATAAAGTATAGAAAATAGCGTTCCTTTCCCGCGGAAAGTATTTCGTACCTTTTTACGACTTTGCTTATATGTAAACATAAAAGACCGGGCAAATAAAGAAATAAACGTTTTACAATGTATGCAATCGAAGAATTATATGCGTACATTTATCCATATATTTTAGCGTTAAATATCAAATATTAGATTTGAGATTGAATATATCGCGTTTACGCTATCGTAGCGCGATATATCCGTGATGTAAAGAAATGGATCATATTATAAAAACACACGTTTAATAATTAAATTAACAACTTACACAAGAAAATCGGATTTGTAATATATTTCCAGCAGCTTACAACATGCATAGTTTATTTAAAGCCAATTTTTTCTTTGTTTCAACATTGATATACGTATATATTGTAATCACTATATCAAGCAATTTATATCTTGTGCATATATTTTATTATATATGTATTTAAATTAATTTAAATAAAATAAGTAAATAGATAAAGTACACTCACACCATACAGTTGTTCCATTGTCGCCTGATGTCTCTCCGGGTTTCCTCCTCCTTCTCCCGTCTTGCTCGTCTCTTGCTATTCCTTCGTGGCACTCACTTGCGGAAACATAATTGTACATATTATTTATTATTCGTGTAAAATTAATTGCATTTATTTCCGCGTGATAATATTGATGATATATTTTACATCATTGCGCGTCATAAAATGTTATCTACATTTTAAATTGTTACCTAAAATATTTATAATTGATATTTTTATAACAGAAATTTTCGAGAAATCGACATTTCGAAAAAAATATTAAATAAATAATATTACATAATTTTCAAAAAAACAATTTTATTTAAATATAAATTTTTATAAAATGTGGCATATATAACAAAATTTTAACAACGCGTTTAAAATTTATAATTATTTAGATTATTTAAATAAAGTATGAAATTTTTATTTATGTATATCACATTTT